AGGTCTGGCTGCATTTGTGGACAGAAAGCAAAGTTAACATTTTGAGTCCAATGACCCTTCTTCAGAACTGGTAGTAGCTGGAAAATGTGGTATATATGTTGAAGGCAGGAGTGAGGGGTAAGGATGGAGTCCAGAGAGTGAGAAAGACAATTGCGCAGAAAGAGGAATGGATGATTGTAAGTGAGGGAAAAAGAAAAGCCAGAAGGAGATGAAAATGGGTTGGCTGTTCTGAAAGCAGCCCATGTCATGACAGGGCCTGGTGTTTGAGGGAGGTTAAAGGATATAGAGGAAGGTGTTCAGATTCTAAAATTATTTATGCACTTGAGAAAATTGCCATAAGAAGCAAAGAGATATTGAAGGTTTTGGCAGATTTAAGAGTGGACAAATCCAAATGTCCAGATGAGTTACAACTTAGGCCACTGTGGGAGATGAGGGAGGAAATTTACAGGGGCCTTGATCCAAATTTTCAAATCATCTCTGGCCACAGGGGATGTGCCAGGGGAGTATAGTTCAGCTAATGTGATTTCACTTTCCAAGAAAGTTAGTAGAGACAGACCATAGACCAGCGAGTATATCATCATTGGTAGGGAACCTGCTGAAGAAAATCATGAAGGAGAAAGTTAATTTCTATTTAGAGAGGTAAGCTTTGATCAGGGATAGTCAGCATGGCTTTGGCAGAGGGAGGTCATGCTTAACAAATCTGGTGGAATTTTTTGAGGCAGTGTCCAAGTATTTGGATGAGGGTAGGGCAGTTGATGTAGTTCATATGGATTTCAGCAAGGACATTGACAAAATCCTACATTTTATATTTAGATTTTTATTGTCACGTGTACCCAAGTACAAAGGTACAGGAGCACAGTGAAAAGTATATAATCTTGTCGCATAAGGCTCCATCTTAGGTACAAGTACTTACATGCAGAATCATAAGAACAAGATGGAAAGACGTAACAAAATTAAAAGCTAAACCTTACATTAATTCTTAGCATTATGTAGAAAAATAAAGAAACAAAGCTGAAAATCAAACATTACAGTCTTTCTAAATGCTTAGCCACACTGGGAACACACTTACTACAGGGGCTCGATCTCCTCCTCTTTGGCATGCTTCTTCTGCACAGTCCATTCTAGGAATCCCCACACTGGGCCTACCATACCACTGTTGAAGCAACCACTACTCCTGTTGATCCACCCAGAATATCAATTTGGGCCTACCACATTACTGCAGCTGACTGATGCCAATCACAAATGCCGCCTTCTCCACCGACCGCAGAGGCCATCCTGCCATTGAAAGCTAATGCAGCCATCACTGCCTCGAGTCCTGTGCTGGGCCCACCAACTTCGAAGATGCCCTGTACTGGTGCCATCACTCGCCACTGGACTCACAATTACTGCTGTCGCAAGCTCCCTAAAGGCTCACTCCCTCCATGTTTGGCTCGCTCTCCCCAAGGAGCCAACTCCTACCACATTTGGGTGCCCGAGCCTGCTCTCACCCTGCTGAGGATGTGTCTTCCGCCGCCACTGAAACAGCCATGAGGAACTGCCAGATCCATTCCGTTGCTGGGAAACTGATAAAGAATATAAAAGCCTTTGGGATCCAAGGAACTTGGACAACTGGATGCAAAATTTGTTCAGTGACAGGAACTGGAACGTGGTGGTAGAAGGCTGTTTGTGTGTCTGGATTGGTCGGATGGGTAAATCAGTGGCAGACGGAATTTAACTCTAATAAATGTGAGATAATGCACTTTGGAAGGAGGAACGAGATAAGGGAGTACTCAATGAATGATAAGACACTGGAAGCTCAGAGGAACAGAGGGATCTTGAGATATTTGTCCATAGATCTGCAGGGCACATTAATAGGATAGTCAAATAGGCATACAGGATGCTTGCCTTTATCAGTCATGGCATCAATTATAACAGCAGGGAGGTCATATTGGAGCAGTACAGAATTTTGCTTAGACCACAATTGGACTACTGTGTGCAGTTCTGGTTAACACACTTAGGGGAAGGATGTGATTGCATTAGAGGGGTGCAAAGGAGATTCACTAGGATGTTGACTGAGATGGAGCATTTTAGCTGTGAAGAAAGACTGGGTAAGCTCAGTTTGTATTTTTTGGAGCAGAGAAGTTTGGAAGTGAACCTGATAGAGGTGTGTAAGATTATGGGAGGCGTGATCAGGATGAAGAGAAAGCAGCTATTCCCCTTAGTTGAGGGATCAACAAGAGGGCATAATTTTAAAGTGAAAGGCAGGAGGTTTAAAGGGGATTTGAGGAAGGCCTTTCCACCCAGAGGGTGATGATGGTCTGGAATGCACTGCCTGTGAGTGTAGTTGAGGAGGGAAATATCACAACCTTTTAAAAAGTACTTGGATAAACATTTTGAAGTGTGGTAATATTCAAGTCTGTATGCTTAGTGCGGTAAAGTGTAGGTAGTAGTATATTTTTGGCGGTATAGACTTGATGAGCCAAAGGACTTCTTCTGCATGATTCATATGTGGAACCTTATAAAGAGCCTCCTTAAAATCCAAAGCACTACATCCGCTGGTTCTTGCTTATATATTCTACTAGTTACATCCTCAAAATCTGTAGGAGATTACTTAAGTATGATTTCCCTTTCATAAACCCCAGCTGACTTTGTCTAATACAGTTAATGCTTTCTGTTCTGTTATCCAGTCTTTTATAATACAATCTAGAATTTTTCCCACTACTGATTTTAGTCTAACTGGTCTGTAATTTTCTTCTTCTTTCTTTCTTTCTATTTTTTTTAAAATAGAGGGGTGACATTTACACCCTCCAAACCATAGAAACTGCTCTAGAGTCTATAGAATTTTGAAAGATGTCCACCAATGCATCCACTATTTCCAGGACCACATCCTTTAGTACTCTGGAATGTAGCCAAGATTTTTATAACTGATTAAATTCTGCCATTTTCAATGACAATGCTTTGCATAGTTAAATATTTTGCTGTCACTGATGTTCCAGACTTGCAAAGCTCACCTGGATGGAAGCTGCTCCTGCTAGTAAAGCTGTCCTGAAGGCCACAAAATGATTGAAGTACAGTGACTATAGGAAGAATTTACAGTCATCAGCTGTGTAAAAGTACTAAAAAAAATCTTTCTGCCTACAACAAAATATGAAGTGTAAAGAAATTGTCAATCATAATAAATAAAGCCTGTATACTAAGAAAACTACTTTCACTTGATATCTTACCTTTGTTTCAGATGACTAGGGAACAAGCATCAAGGCTAACTCACAAACATTAATGTTTTTTGATCAAATTCAGTAAATCGCAAGCTCTATAGAGGAAAAGAAACTTGTTGATCATGAAATTTTGTGGGAGTTATGTCGGTCAACCACCCTACGTCTAATGGGAGATTGTCTGAAAAACAATCATATATGATCTCTGCACCAGGATTCTGTAGGAAAAAATGCAGTTAATCATCAAATTACCACGCTTAATGCATTTTACTACCTGGAGAAGAAAGTGATCAAGTCCAGATAGTTAGATTAAAGGATGGGACCATTAAGTTGAGCAATACACTCCCCCTGTTAGTTTCCTTCATAAAGTATATGGAAATTATTGCCATGTAGAGGTATTACTGTCAAAGCTACATGAGACTCAATGGCACAATTAATTAGTACAATGGTCATTCATATTTGGAGGTGATTTCAAATACATCCTAGGCTAATAAAATTTTTTTAAAAATCTCTTTCTGCTTACAGGAAAGCACAGCGTGTAAAGAAATTGTCAACCATAATAAATAAAGCCTCTATACTAAGAAAACCGCTTTCACTTGATATATCTTTGTTCCAGATGAGGTTTAATATGTGCTCTAGGGCAAGTAATGTAGACTGACAGCCAATACTATAGTGGGGTACTATAGTATAGTACTCTCTTCTGCATGAGGAGCTAGTAAACTAATGTCCTTTCAGTATTCCATCTTACTTGGGGATCACTTAAAGCATGATGTATTACTGGAAGTAGACTTATTAGTTGTAATATATTAGCTTAATGCTAGCCCAGTCACTACCATTAATGTACAATAGCCATCTGCAATAAACATTTGTTAGATTTTGTTTTAAAAAATATCCATGCCTAGTTTATTATGTCACAAGAAATAACATAAAAAGTTGCTACACCAAGTGAAATACCCTTTTGGAATCAAAACCCACATCAAATGATTTCTAACTGACATTTATTCCTCATCCAATATGCTAAAATAGATGACTAACCATTCATTTCATGACTTCTTGCATGGACATTTGCTTGTGAAATTTGGTGGTCATGTCTACCGACATTACTTTCATGACTGTACAGTCAATTGTATGCCATTGTTGCAAATTGCTTTGGTTCTGCCTGCAATTGTGAAACTAGCTGTGCTAGCTGTATTTTTCTATTGGAGTTTTTTTAGGTGATTGTAGAGAGAGCTTGACTGCAGCTAAGCTATAGCTGCTGTGGTGGTGCTCAGTACCGCCTTTGGATCGTAAAGGTCGAAAACTACTTTATTCAGATAATAGTTGAATCTTGAATCAGCCCAAATTTCACAAAGCCATTTTAAATGTTTAATGGGATTTAGAGTAAGATGGTGCATGTATTTTGAACTTCCAGCACATTGCACTTAGTATTTTGGGCTTTTCTGAACATGTTTATCCTCCTAAAGCAAGTTTGTACAAGTTTACAAAGATTGAAAATCTCAAACTTCCTCCCTGAACAAACTGCTCAAGAATGTATCAGTCTCAAACTACAAATCTTATGGATGGAATCCCCATAGTTTCATTACATTCTTAAATATTTAATTCTATATCTTAATTGCTTCTTTTACTGATAATAACAACACTTTTGTTTTACAGTATTTTGATAGATGTAGATGATCCTTTTCAAAATGTGTGATTCTACGTTATTCCTTTGTCTTGATTTTGATATATAAGTGACTTTTAACATCCTAATACCTTGGCTTAAAATTTAATAGTACTTGCCTCACAATATTGTTTTTCCATGCATTTCAGAAACAGATGACTCGACCTATTATGTGATTGGAGCTGTGCTGTATCGGACGCTGGGTCTCATCTTACCTGTTACAAGGTAAGTCAGTGCTGTCTGCATTCCATGAACCATTGAATAGTGCTAGCTAAGAGTGCATCAGATCAACATCACTAGTTACTTGCATAATGGTTCACTTGTCTGTCAGATTATCGGGGATAGTCAGAATGCATTATACTTTGCAATTCTTAAACAAATATGCATTACATAAGACAGATACATGCTTCCAATTCTTAGACCACTTGATGATGTAATAGTATGTATGAGGGCAGGAAAACTATTAATGATTTATCTGCTTCTTTTGGAGTAATTGATTGTGCGTTCTTCTGAATGTATTTATATTTTCAGTGATAACATAAGTAAACTACTACTAACAGAGAGATTAGAGATGATAAGAGTAATAACAGTTTACAAAGGATCCGGTACTACAAAACAGCAAAGAAGAAACAGGGCAAGACGTTAGCTGTAATGAGGTAAACTTCAGGATATAGAGATAGATCAATAAGTGAATTCGAGATGGGGGGAACGAAACTGGACAAATACAGAAAAAGAGAGTGAAGGTAGCATGATAAACCACTAGATACTGAGAAACTTACAGAGCAGAGGTAGAAAAAGCCACGTAGCATCCTTTCCACCTGGCACCCATTCACATTACTCCCTACCCATCTGCTTAAGGTGATACGCCTGTTTAAGAACTAAGCACAAAATTATTTCCCAAGCTCAGAAATCTATGACCTGTTTAGATCTGTGAAAGTGGAAAGGTAACTCTGTTTCAAAATGGTGTAGTTGCAATGTCACTAGACTAATAATCCAGAATCCTAGCTAATTTTTCTGGGAACATAGGTTTGAATCCTACAATGGCAAATAGTGAAAATTGAATTCAATAAAAAATCTATAATAAAATGCTAACTTAACAATCATGTAAACACTGCCAGTTGTTGTCCAGAAAATGTCTGGATCAGCAATGCCCTTTGGGAAAGGAAATCTGCCATCCTTACCTGGTCTGAGTCTACAGGTGATTCCAGACACACAGCAATGTGTGGAGTGCAGGTTCATAGTTCTTTGAAAGTAGAGTCACAGGTAGCTAAGATAGTGAAGAAGGTGTTTGGTATGCTTGACTTTTATAGGTCAGTGCTATGAGTACAGGAGTTGGGAGGTCATGATGCGGCTGTGCATTGGTTGGGGCACTTTTGAAATACTGCGTTCAATTCTGGTCTCCCTGCTGTAAGAGGGATGTTGTGAAAATTGAAAGGGTTCAAAAAATGTTTACAAGGATGTTACCAGGGTTGTAGGATTTGGCCAGAGGAAATGGTGGAGGTGGGTAAAATTACAACATTTAAAAGGCATCCGATGGGTGTATGAATAGGAAGGGTTAATAGGGATATGGGCCACGTGCTGGGAAATGGAACTAGATTTATTTACGACATCCGTTCAGCATGGACGAATTGGACTGAAGCATCTGTTTCTGTGCTGAACATCTCTGTGATTCTACGTGTTTGACTGAGATTAGGGAGAGGCAATAAATATCGCTTGGAGCCAATGAATAAAAAACAGTATTCCAACATAAGAGCACATTATTTGACTTCATTATTGTTGCTGGCAGTACAGAGAGTCATCCAACTTCATTTAATCATGGTCAGCAGATGTGAGATTTTGTTGTTAATTTAGTTTTCAACAAGAATTTATGTTAATATGATGTCTTAACTAATTGTAACACCCTAAGTTGCTTCTCAGGAACCTTGCAAAGCAAAATTAGATGTTGGGCCACCAAAAGCAAAATTATTCAGATGGTCAAATGTATGGCCAAAGAGATAGTTTTTTTTAAAAAAATGTCTTAAAGAAAGGAAGCAGGATAGAAAAATGAATTTTAGGAAGAGAATTCCAGAGCTTAGTACCATGACAGCTACCGATGGTGCAGCAATTTAGTTGAGAAATAATGGGCAAGCGGCCAGAATAAGAGAAGCACAGAGGATTGGAGGACTGGAAGAGATACCGAGATTGGGACAGGTGATGCCGTGGAAACATTTGAAAATGATCATTTTTAAATTTTGACAACCGACACTCAGGGAGCAATGCTTATGCAATGTAATGTGCAGACAACAAAAGGGATTAAGAAAAGTACCATTCATGTTTAGAAATTTTCAATACAGGTGTAGAAAGAACCATTATTGAAATATGTCAAAGCATTTCACCCAGTGAATCATGTAAAGTAGGGAAAAAATTGTAAAGCAAGTTGTTCGTGCATTAGTATGATTAAATCAGACCTAAAACAGGCTTGACTCATGCAATATGCTAATCTTATCAAAAATTCTGTTACAAAATGCCTTCAAAATTCTGAGAGGAATAGCATCAGTTTGTACTATAGCCCAATTTTGTCCCCAGTCAACCTTTGAAATTGGTCACCCACACTTAACATTTTGCTCCAGGAGGTCGGCTGGATTGAGAGTTGTGCCAAGCAGCATAGGAGAGAATAAGAAGCTACCTGTTTCCTAACATTGGCTGAGCAGAAAGCCTGCTTGGGCACTCCAGCTCTGTATTCAGAGTTTAAAAACAAAGATTATAACAGGAACACCTCTCCTATTCTTATCCTTCACTCCCTCATAACTTATTGCCACCCTATGCCCATCTCTCATGGACTTCATACCCTATATGCCCACAATAAACCCCATGGCTCTATATAGTCCCTATGCCAACTCAGTGCTAAGTCACTTATTATCAGGAATGGATATTAATCAGGAGGCAGAAATAAAACTACCAGTATATTGTTTGTGGGGAGGCAATGACCTGTGTTGTTATCATTATATTATTAATCCAGAAACACTAGTAATGTTCTGGGGATCTGGGTTCAAATCCCACCATTGCAGGTGGTGGAATTTGAATTCAGTAAATATCTGGAATAAAGAGTCTAATTATGACTATGAAACTATTTTGGTTTGTCAGAAAAACCTATCTGTTTGCTAATGTCCTGTAGGGAAGGGAACTGCCATCATTACCTGGTTTGGCCTACATGTAACTCCAGACCCACAACAATGTTGTTGACTCTTAAATGCCCTCTGAGCAATTGGGGATAGGCAATGACAGCAATGCCCACAATCCTGTAAATAAATATAACAATAAAAGTCACTAGTGAGTAAAAATATGCTGTTTTTGATACAAGATCATTAATACAGTAGAACTGCATCAACAAATTCCTTATGAAAACAGATATTTCACTTAAGTAATACCATATATCAACAGCTTATTCATATGTATAAATCCTTGTGTGAACATATATCTCATGCAAGTACTTAAAAACTAAAGTTAATAAACATTTCTATTCCATTAGAAAGGAACTGTACAACAATAGGTATGACAACGTGAAAATTATAATTTGGGAAATCAGTCATGCAATACAAATACTATGATGGTACCTTGAAATAACTACCACTGCTTTTTTACTATAACTTCACATTTTTTTCTGGTAAGTTTCTTGATAACCTTGCAAATCCCAGTGATTTATATGAACATATCAAATATAAACGTAAGAAGGCCATGTGGCCTCTTGAGCCTGATCTGCCGTTCAATAAGATTGAGGCTGATCTGTTTGCATTTGGAATTCCTATTCCTATTTATGCCTTCTTAATCTTAGATTCTTGACTGAAATAATTCCACAAATGCCAGTATCTCATCAACAAGTCACCCTTTATTGTAACGTGGAGAATCCTTGATACTGATCCAGCTCTCTCAGAGTGAGCAGAACCTCTGACACTCCTGTTGATATCTGTGAACTAGGGCTCCCTGTTTGGACCAGATTAACAGCCCCAATCAGATAACTCATGTTCTGTGAAGTCCACCTGGCTGACCTTGTTACAATCACTACATCTCTTCCCCCTCTGAGTCTGAGGACATAGGCTGGTTGTTATTTTTTGTGTTCCTCCTGGGGCATTTTAGCACCAGGTCACATTCTCCAACTCTGCCTCTGATACAGGCGGCACATAACGCACAGTAGATTGCCTCTTGCACCTAGGGTGTCTGCAGGCAGCAAAGGCATCAAGGTGGCAACATCTCAGATTTCCAAGGTTTATCTTCAACACTTGATGGAAAGGGAGAATCCAAGGGTTCTGGAACAATCAGAAAGGTAGTTGAGGAGCTGGGCATGCTTTGCTCCCACACTGTTTCTGAGTTTACAGGTTTCATGTGGTCCACATGCTAGTCAGGACCGTTGCATCTATCTAAACTTTATATATTGCTGGACCTGACCTCGCGTCGACTATGCCTCTTACCCATGCAGGGCCATCGCTGTGGTTCGTACACCAAACTTCGTCCCTTGAAGTAAACTGTCTCTCTTGCTTGTGCCTGGCGTTGGCATTCCTGATGCTGTTTCACCCTCCCCCTCCCAGGTCTGGGAAAATCAGATTTAACCTGGTGCAGAGTCTTCCCCCCAATAACAACTCCCTTGGAGCTATCCTTGCAGTTGCATGAGGGCTGATCCTATAATCAAATAGGAACTGGGACCTTTGGGATCTAGTAAAGCTGCAGGCTGTTTCTTTCAGCGTTCTTTCAAGGATTGGACTGCTGTTTCTGCCACACCATTGGATGATGGATGGTACGGAGCTGTCCATATACGACATATACCATTTGACTTTAGAAAATACTCAAATTCCCTGGTGGTAAACCATAGCCTGTTATCTGTGACCAACACTTCTGGGAGTCCATGTATTGCAAAAGATGTGCATAAAGTTTTTGAGAAGATTTGTAGCTTGGGTTGTGGATGAGGTTGTAGACTTGCTCGCTGAGCTGGTGTGTTTAATTGCAGACACTTCGTCACCCTGCTAGGTAACATCATCAGTGCACCTCCGGTGAAGTGTTGGTGTTTTGTCCCGCTTGTTATTTATATGCCTCGGTTTGATGGAGTGGTTGCATTACTTCCGGTTCTACTTTTCAGTGGTTTGTATATTGGATCCAGTTCGATGTGTTTGTTGATGGAGTTCCGGGTCTCCAGGAATTCCCTGGCATGTCTCTGATTGTCTTGTGCTATTATGGGGATGCGTTGTCCCAGTCAG